GGAGGGAGGAGGGAGGAGGGAGGAGGGAGGAGGGAGGAGGGAGGAGGAAGGAGGAGGCCCTCTTGGGACACGCTGGGTCCGTTTTGGGGTGTTTGTGAGCCCCGGGACCCGGGGGGCATGGCATTTCTGACCTGGGACCCCCCGGGGACCCTCCCCAGGACCACCCCCGGGACTCCCCTCGGGGCCCTCCCCTCCCCCCTTTGGGGGGGAATTGATCAAAGGGAAGGGGCTTCCTTTCGACTCAATTACGACGTTGCTCAATTTCGCTTTGGTTTCGCGTTGACTGGCTCGCTTGAGGAGGGCCCAGTCAAAGGGGGGAAGCGGCGACGGGCCAAAAATGAGATCAAACACGATGACGACGACTGCGACAAGGACGACGACAAGGACAACGACGAGGAGGAGGAGGAGGACGAGGACTACGACTACGACTACGACTACGACTATGACAACGACCAGTAAAACAGAACAGCGTCTTCCACAATCCGAGGAGGAGGAGGAGGAGGAGGAGGAGGAGGAGGAGGAGGGGCAGGAGGAGGAGGAGGAGGAGGAGGAGGAGGGGAGAAGGGAGGAGGGAGGAGGGGAGGGGAGGAGAAGGAGGAGAAGGTGAAGGAGGAGGAGGAGAATGAGGAGAAGGAGGGAGGGAGATGAGAGGAGTGAGGAGATAGGAGGGAGGAGGAGGAGTGAGGAGGGAGGGAGGAGGAGGGAGGAGGAGGAGGAGGAGGAAGGAGGGAGGAAAGGAGGAGGGAGGAGGATGGAGAGGGAGGAGGGAGGAGGGAGGAGGAGGAGGGCGGAGGAAGGAGGGGGGGAGGGGGGAGGGAGGAGGGAGGAGGGAGGAGGGAGGGAGGAGGGAGGAGGAGGAGGGAGGAGGGAGGAGGGAGGAGGAAGGAGGAGGCCCTCTTGGGACACGCTGGGTCCGTTTTGGGGTGTTTGTGAGCCCCGGGACCCGGGGGGCATGGCATTTCTGACCTGGGACCCCCCGGGGACCCTCCCCAGGACCACCCCCGGGACTCCCCTCGGGGCCCTCCCCTCCCCCCCGTTGGGGGGGAATGGATCAAAGGGAAGGGGCTTCCTTTCGACTCAATTACGACGTTGCTCAATTTCGCTTTGGTTTCGCGTTGACTGGCTCGCTTGAGGAGGGCCCAGTGAAAAGGGGGAGCGGCGACGGGCCAAAGGAAAGGAGATCAAACACGATGGCGACGACGACGACGACGACGGCGACAAGGACGACGACAAGGACAACGACGAGGAGGAGGAGGGCGAGGACGACGACTACGACTACGACTACGACTATGTTAACGACCAGTCAAACAGAACAGCGTCTTCCACAATCCGGCAAGGCCGATTGATTTTATGGCTTCCTATCACCGAGCGGAAATTGAAATGGCATGTGACAAATGTGGGCGAGCCCCACATGTATTAAAGCTCGTAGCGCATCTCAAGTTTATTTGGTTGTACCGGGAGATGCGGCGAGCAGTCGGAGGGACCTTGAAGTATCCCTTTTGGGTTGCACTCCTGCTTACGCTGGACTGTATTTGCAAACTCTCCCCCTCTGGAATGACATTGTGCATCAAGATTTCGCAAGATTTGTGCCGTCGCAGTCCAACGTGACCCAATTGATGCAAGTGGTCGACCACACAACACCCGAGGCGCAGGATTTGCGGCGTTGCCGAATGAGACAATGAATGGCAACGGCAGACTCGAGAAGCATATAATACATCGAGTAAGTAGCCCAACAAATATGCAATGCGGCGCAGCATTAATATGTGCGTGGACATGCGGATCCTTAATTCACATGCGCGGTATTACACCAAAGAAACACCCTGATCAGTGGATGTCTGAACTTTTCGCAGGTACCTCGATCTGCCCTCCCTCCATTCGGGTTTAGTTTGAATATACTTTGTATTTCATCGAATGACATCTCCGCTACGAAAGTCTTTTTCATCTTGGCTCAATTTGACATGTCCGGGTGCTGCGGTGAGAAGTAGTATGGTAGTGATTTTTATGTGTGATTCCATACGGGGGGATATTCAGAATTGCGTGGAAGTGGCCGGGAGTGACTTCCCCCTCGTGAATCGGGAGCCTTGAGATGGGTGTCAATGCAAACAGGGGTCAGCCAGAGCGCCCGATCTTGCAGGATCCTGCAGGGCCAGGGTCGCATTGACCCAGCTGTCGATTCCGGATGTTGTAGGATTTTGCAAGGCCTGATTGGCCCGGGTCTGGATTGACCCCTGTCAGAAGATCGCCGAGTGAATTTATAGGGGAAGAGATTTGATCTTGAATTGATGCTATTTTTTTGTACAGCAGGGAGAACCCCGGAAAGTTCTCCCGCCCAACCAGGCCGAAGGCTGCCATGCTAGGAGTCTACGGGGGGAAGGGGGGTCCCGCTCGGAGACGCCCTAGTCGTCAGCGCTCAAAATGAATAATTCTCGTAACGGGTAAGTTTGTGTGCTCTCTCTCTCTCTCTCTTTCTTTTTTCTCTCTCAACCTCTCTCGCTCTCTCTCTCTCTCTCGAATTTTGTTCCCAAATCCCTCTCTTACTCTCCCCTTCACTCTCCCTCTCTCTCTCTCTCTCTCTTTTTTTTCTCTCTCTCTCTCTCTCTCTCTCTCTCTTTTTTTCTATCTCCCTCTCTCTCTCTCTCTCTGGGGAGGGCCCTCCTCCGATCCCCCCATCATCCCCCCGTCTTTGGACATGATGGCGCCCCAGCCATTTACGATTTTACTGCAGGCTGGTCCGCATTCCTGACCAGGGCAACTCCCACTCGTTTGGGCATCGTTTATGGATGGTCTGGTGAAGTAGTTGTGCGACTGTCTGTAACAGTTATTTCTCAGTTTAACACACAGCTGTTGCCCGCTCCTTTGTAGCGAATCGTACTGAGCTGTTGTGCATACTATGGGGTAGTGTACAAATAGTGTTATTTCCACCACTCTCGTTGTTATGACGTCACGTAGGTCCATCGTCGCTTTTATGGCACGCGTTTGGCGCGTCGACAGGTAATTTGGGCTCATTGGGCGTCTGGGCTCTAATTGCGTTTGCCTGATTGACGCGCATTTGGCGCGCAATGGTTGGCGCGCAGTTGGCGCGTCGAATGTTCTGGCGTGGAGTGAACCAGAAAGGCCCCAAGACGGCCCAAGAGTGTTCAAAGAAGTCCCAAGATGGTTTCAAGACGGCCAAAGAGGCCCTCAAGACGCTCCACGAGGCTTCCCAGAGGCACACATCGTCCCAATGCGTTTGGAAAACGCATGTGTAGCATATCCGCTTCCTTGGTCGTCACAGCGTCCACAACGGCCCAAGAGGCTCTCAGGATCGCCCCAAGACGGCACAATAGATCCCCAAAGCGGCTCCACGACGGTCCCACGACGGCACAAGAGGGCTCCGAGACGGCCCCAGAGAGCCCCAGGACGGCCCAAGAGAGGCCCCAAGAGGGCCTCAACATGTTTGCAAGAGAGCCCTGAGAGGACCCCGAGGGTCCGGAGAGGGCCCCAGAGGGTCAGGAGAGGGCCCCAAGACGGCCCAAGCCCCGAGACGGCCCAAGAGGACCCCAGGACGACTAACGAGGGCCCTAAGACGACGCAAAGGAACCCCAAAGGACCCGCAATAAGGCCCGGAGAGGCCACGTTCATTGATGTTCGCAAGGTTGTTTGTCAGTTGTTTGTATGACGTACCAAAGACTTAACACCAAGAGGACTCTAAGGCATTGATCAAGCGATCACACACCCCCTTACAGAGTACGAGCGCTTTGCGTCTCCGTGCCAAGCAGGTAACGGACAGAGCGAGGTACGATTTGGGGTTCTTTCGGGGCGCCTCGACGGCTTCTTGGGCCATCTTGGGCGTCTTGAACCGACCGTGCGGCGATTCGGGGCCCTCTTGGACCGTCTCGGCGGCTTCTTGGAGCTCTCTTGGCCCGTCCGGGGGCCCTCTTGGGCCAGAACAAGTCATGTGACAAGCCGCGACGTGCCCTAGAGGGCACACCGGGAGCCCCAAGAGATTTGTGAATTTGAGGTCCAGGTCCCTAAAATAATCATCAGGATTGAGGACTAAGGCTTATGGAATTCGGCCAAGCACCTGAGGACCCTCCGACACGTGCGGAGTTTCGACCGTGCCGCGTCGACGGCACCCATGTTGGTGGCGAGCAACCGCAATAATGTTAGGACGTTATCGCTTCAAGCTGGCATTATCATTTGTCTATTTCGCCATGAATATTCAGAAGTCTATGGGAGCGTTCTGCAAGTAGAGTCGGCAGTGTTTCTGGCACAAGCATTAGCCTGCTCCTGCTGCATCAGCTCTAGAGAGGCCACTGCAACGCATACAATGGCGCATACTTCCTTGCGTAGCAAGGCATTCCATTACATAGCATTGAATAGCACAGCATGGCACGGCACTGCACCACATCGAATACATCACATGTACATCTGAACACATACCGTTTCATGTGTTGTATAACATAGCATTGCTTTGCAATGTGCAGCCTGGTATACCATGTTTGATCATATCATAATTCGTGGTACCACTGCGTACCATGGCAAGTATACCAAATCATGGTTCAGCCTAGTATTGCATACGTTAGCGTTACATTGCGCCGCATAGCATTACACAGCTTGTTACTGCAATGATCGCTACAGAGTCGGTTATGTTACTGCACTGCATACTGCAGCGTGTCGTAGTGTGGCTAATCATGGCATGGAGCATCATGGCATTACATCTCATAGTGCAGCATGGTGCAACACAGCATATCGGGGGCGCTGTAGCGTTGCTGATCACCAGTCGACCAGTTGATGAGCGCGGAGGAGGAGAGACGCGGAGTAGAAGGGAAGAGGAGGCGATGAATAGGGAACACATTATTCATGACCTCCTTTTGGTTCAATGCGGTCAGCACCAAAGCGACAAGAATCTCAGCTCGCGCGAAGCGCTTTCGTGAGTCTAGTTTAGATATGTTTGTGCGTGCTGTCTCTGCCACGCGCCTTTCCCCGCTCCTCCCGCGCTACCTTTTGCACCCTCGCAGACGGGACCGACGTCGTCGTCGAGTCCTCGCTCCGCATGCCCGTGGTGCTGCTGCGCCTACAGCGAGGCCCGGGCCTGGAAGGCACGGGCGTAGCGGTGCTGAAGGCGACCCCGTCGTTTGGAGGCACCTCCCCCCAGCTGCAGCCGCCGCCCTCTTGCTGCCGGCGTCCCGCTCTGAGCGCTTCTGCTCCAGCTGCTTGAGGGTCCCCCTTCTCCTCCCTCCCCCCCCTCCTCCTCCTCCTCCTCCTGCTCCTCCTCCTCCTCCTCCTCCTCCTCCTCCTCCTCCTCCTCCTTCCCCCCCCGCCTCCCTTCTCCCCCCCATACGGCCGGACCGAGTCATAAGATCGAGGTCGGTTCGGGGAGGGTATTTTATTGTTCTCCGTGCTTGTTGGAAGCTCTTGTGCACTCTTGGGAGGATACCCTTGGATGTTCTGTCACAGAACATGTTTGGCCAGCGGAGGGTCTCATGTTCTTGAGGGATGTTCGTCTGTCCTATGTTCGACTGTATCCTCCCTCTTCCCTCCTCTCCTTCTCTTGCCCCATTCCCTGCTCTCCCGGCCTGTTCATGCCCCTCCATTGGGGAACCGCTGAAGGAAGCTCATTCGGTAACCTCCAACCCACGCCCAATCTCCCTCCGCGACCCTCCTCGCGCTCGTGAGTATCGAAATCTTTGGGAAACGCCATGGTTTCTCGATCCTTGTTCCTAGACCGGCATGCTCATTGTCCTCCCCGTTTTTCCGGGCCCCTCCTCCTTCTCCTCCCCCCTCTTCCTGGCCCCTCCCCCCCTTGATCCTCCTCCTCGCGCTCGCCTGGCCCCTCCCCCCCTTGATCCTCCTCCTCGCGCTCGCGAGCACCCATTGGTTCCGGAGGAGCAGATGCCCCTCGGAAGCCTCGACCCCTGCCCGGCCTTTCCTCCCCGGGAGGCCGAGAAGTTCCACAGCGTGCCCGCCAGTTTGTTTTTGCGCGTACGACGCGGGGAGCACGGGCTCCTGCCCTGGGGTGCGTTCTGGCCAGTCGAGGCGGACCCAGTCGCGGCGTCGAGGAATGCCCCCGGAGGTCGTCCGAGAGAGCCAGCGCACGCCTTCTGGGTCCTCGAAGCTCGGACATCCACGGTCCTTCCCCGAGTGGTTTTCGAGCCTTGACTTGGGCCCCGGTCGGCCGCTCAGCACGATCTACGGTTTGGGCACCCCTTTCAACGCTCCCAGCGAGGCGCAGCTGCTGGACAGCACCCCGAGGCGAGAAGGCCTCCGAGAGCCTGCGGCACTGAAGGAGAGCTCCGAAGCTCGAGCCTCGCGGCTCGAAGTTCGAGCCGCGAGGGGGCCGAACCGCAGGGGTGTCAGGTGTAGGGTTAAGTCGCGCCTGTCCCTCTACAGGAGGAGTGTTCAAGAATAGTACAGAAAACAGTATGGGGACGATGTTTTGATTATTTTTGATATTTTTTGATTATTAGTTGAATTGTTTTTCGTCCAAAATCCGCCTGTAGGGGGACAGGCCCGACCTAAGTGTAGGGTGTAGGTGTGTTCCCACGCAGGGTGTAGGTGTGTTCCGGTAAGACCCTACCATAAGAGCCAGTTCTGCTCCTTTCCACCCTTTCCCGTCTGCCTGCTCCTCCTCCTCGATCAGTTGTGGCGTCGTGGGGCCCTCATCCCATCAGATCGGAATCGGGAAGCCGGCGATTTTTCTGGGCCCTCCACCCCGGGCGTACTGCAACGGTGGGGGGGGGCGACAAACGTGCGGGGATGAAGGATTGTAGGAAAGCGGCCCTAAAAGGAGCCGAAACTGCCACCACGGGCCCAGAATGCACTGGAAAGGTGCGCGCTTCTTCACCACCCGACCCCGTTAACGAACGCCCGCCCTGCACGGGATCCTCGGCTCGTGCGCCCTGCGCCCTGCGCTCTCCGCGCCGGGCGCATCGGGTGACGAGGCTCCGAGGCGACGAGAGCAGACGACGTGCACGAAAGGCGAATCTTCCCTCTCCCCCCGTCCACTCCCCCCCCCACAAGACCCCCCCCCCTTCCCCAGCAGCAGGCACCCGATCCCGCGTGCGCGCCTCCACTTTCGCCTTCTCGGCGTGCCGCAACTCCGCCCTCTGGAGGCTCGCCTGCGCTGCCTGCCTCTGCCAGCCCAAGTTGCGCTTCGGGGCAGCGGCGGCGACGCCGGCGCACTCGCCCTGCCCGACAGGCATCCCCCGTGCTCATGCTTCCCCCTCCCCGGGAGCCCTCCCTCCCCGCCAGCGAGCGCCCGAGCTCCCATCCCCCCAGCACACCCCACGAGAGAGGCCTGCGGGACGGCGCCCCGCCGCTCTGCACGATCCGCGCCGGCGGCGCCGGCGAGGCCCAGCTCGGCCCAGGGGTGGGGCGGGGGAGGGTCTGTCCGGGCATGAGGGGAACAAGAAGTGACATAATAACATGAAAACTCGGAGGTCCGCGCGGATTTCTCGGGTCGGCGCTGGACCCCCTTCCCTGGCGCGCGGAGCGCGCCAGGGGCGGCGCCGGAGGCGCCGCCGGGGGGCCCTAGCGCCGATCCGAGAAATCCGCGCGGACCTCCGAGTTTTTATGTTTATGTCACTTTTTGTTCCCCTAGGCATCGCTCGGACATGTGTATGTTTTGTCTCGGCTTGAGGACCATCTTGGACCATCGAGCAAAAAAAAAAACACGCACAGAACCGAAAAATGCACGGGAAGTGGGCGTCCGAGCGACGGCAAGTTGTGCTCCGCCCGCTCGGGGGGAGCTTGGGTGGGGGGGCGGGGGGGGCTGCACCATCCGCGCCCGCGGCGCCGGCGAGGCCCCGCTGCCGGGGGGGGGGGGGGGGCACCCGTGCGAGCTGAGTGGAGCACGGGCTCGGGTGAGCTGGGCCGAAGGCGCTTCACGGTGCACCCGCAGCTGAGGCCGAAGCCAAAGCTGAAGTGCACAGAAAAACGGAAAGGGTCCACCGTGCAAGTAGTTCGATTGGTAGTACCGTCAACGCGCCTGGTAAGGACGCGTGCCTTCATCTAGGGTACCCTTGAGTCCTTGCCTCTGCGGCCCGTCCTTCGCCGTTTTCACTGGCCGCCCCCCGCCCCAAAAATCCAACTTCGGCCTCCAAGGGTCTTGCGTCCTTACCACCCGTCCTTAATAAACGTTTTGACTGTCATTCGTCGAGCGGTGCTGCAGTCTCTCCTGAGCGCAGACTCCCCCCACAGCATCAGCCAGACAAGTCCAGATTGCACCCGCATGCCTTTCCGGACTCTGGACGCGTTTCGTCCACGGTTGAAGACGAAGCCGAATCTGAAGATGGGGGTGGGGAGGGAGGGGAACGGTCGACCAGGACGGGATACCATCTTGGGCGGTGGGGCGGGGGAGCCCGGCGCCTCCCCACCTGGGGGAGGGTGGGGCAGGGGCGCAGGCGAAAGGAGAAAGGAAGGGGATGGATAGTCGAATTGTTTCGCCCGCGCACATCGTCGTCTGAGGCGTCCGTTTGCGCAGGTGGATACTGGGGGCCTCGTTGTGCTGTCGATGTCGTATATTTGCGCGTCTTTGGTTTGTGCTGGAGGGCCGCAGTGGATGTGGCGGATTCTCTGGACAGTCGCTCAGGGCCGCCCCCTGAGCGTCGGGGGGGGCGCCATCCCGGCGACTGCAGCGGGGGGAGGTGAGGAAAGGCAGGGAGGGAGGGAGGGGAACCGACGACCAGGAGGGGATACCACCTTGGAGGTTGAGGCATGAGGCAGGCGTTTCGGCTGTGATCCAGAACCACATACCTGACAAGAAAGGCGGGTATTGGAATCGCGGTTGCTGCTAGTGCTTCTCCCTGCTGCAGCTGGTTATCCCTTCCCTTCGCTCATTCTCCTCCTCGCCCTTCTGTGCCTCTACGGCCTGGATTCCCTAGGAAGTCCTGGAACTTTGAAAACCGAGGGCCCGATCAATTTCAAAAAACTGTTTCAACAGGATTTGCAACATTGTCTTGAAATAGTTGAGACGCCTGAAACTTTGAAAGAGCGTGTTCTACCGCTGCTGGCGGAAAACCGGGGGGGGTCACTACCGGTTCGAACCCCTCCCCCCCCCCTCCGGAAAACCGGGGGGGTCACTACCGGTTCCCCCCCCCCCCCCCCCCCGCTCATCATGAAAAGGGGGGGGGGGTCACTACCGGTTCGAACCCCCCCCCCCCCCCTCGAAAACCGAGTGGGGGTGCGGACAGTGGTGGGGACGGTGTTGGTGGGGACAGTGGTGAGGGGACAGCGGGACAGTGGTGGGGACAGTGGGGGGACAGTGGGACAGTGGTGGGGACGGTAGTGGTGGGGACAGTGGTGAGGGGATAGCGGGACAGTGGTGGGGACAGTGGGACAGTGGGACAGCGGTGGGGACGGTAGTGGTGGGGACAGTGGTGGGGACAATGGTGGGAACAGGGGGGGACAGTGGACAGTGGTGGTGACGGTGGTGGTGGGGACAGTGGTGTGGGGACAATGGGAACGAGGTGGAAACAGTGGGACAGTGGAGGGTACAATGGTGGTGGGGACAGTGGTGAAGGCGGTGGCGAGGACGGCGGTGGGACAATGGGACAGAGGTACAGTGGGGACAGTGGTGGGGACAGTGGGGACAGTGGTGGGAACAGTGGGACAGCTCAGTGGGACAGCGGAGGAGTCAGTGGGACAGTGGGGACAGTGGGGATAGTCGGGCAGTGGTTGGGGCCGTGGAGACAGTGGGGAGAGTGGAACCGTGGTGGGAACAGTTCTGGGGACAGCGGGGACAGTGCGACAGTGGTGGGGCCACTGGTGGGGACAGTAGGGGCGGTGGTGGAACCAGTGGGGACAGCGGTGGTGAGGACAGTGGTGCTGGGAACACCAGTGGGGGATGTGATGCGGACGGTGGTGGGGACCGGGAGTCGTTTGCTGGCGGTGAGTAGGGGGGGGGGGGGGGGGGGGTTCGGGGTAGTGAGGGGGGGGTTCGGTTTGATCTGTTCCGGCGGGGGGGGGGGGGGGGGGGGGGGGGGGGGGGGGGGGGGAGCGGGGGGGGGGGGGGGGGGGGGGGGGGGGTTCCGGCAGGGGGGGGGATTTTCGGAGGGGGGGGGGGGGAGACCCCCGGGTTCCGGAGGAAAAGGTTGGCAATTTTCCACAGTAAAGCGGCGGTGGATCACGCTCTCTCGAAACTTTCAAACTGTCGATCAAACGATAACAACACTTAGGAACAATATTGAAACACAGGACTCCACGATAGATGGTGGCCCTGGTAGTTGGAAAGTACATGGCCCAAGAAACTTCAGCCACTTTGAAACGTTTGCACGTGTTTTCAATATCAGCACGTTTCAAATAAGAATCAAGTGCAGGTCGGCGCTGATAGGCCCCTCGCGCACTTATCGCAAGCGCTTCTTTTCCAAAGGTGTGCCCTGGAGGCATTATGTGGTGCTGTTGAACTTTCTTGAGGTCCTACCGATGCTTGTTCAGGGCCATGTGGGAGCGCTCCTGGCGCCCAGGGCTGCAAGACAATTCGCCTACGTGTCTTCGATGAGTCAAAAGGTGCACCCAGCAGACCTATCGCAAGTGCTGCTTCTCAATAAATAGGTACGCTCTGGATACATCCTGTGACATAAATTAGTTATCCGAAGGTCCTACCGATGCCTGTTCAGGGATTTGTGCGAGCGCTCCTGGGGCCCACCAAGGCACCGTAGAGGACCCCAACAGGTGCACCCAGCACACCTATCGCAAACGCCGCTTTGTGATAGGTGTGCGCGGTGGTTTCTTGAACCATGGTGAGTTCCTCCGTGATCGTCTAGGAGGTCTCTTGGAACCCTCTCGGAGCCTTTTGAAGCTCGCCACGGTTCCCCCCTCCCCATGCAAGTTAGCTAACACTCCCACGACTCAGGCCAGGATTTGGTGTGAATATCGACCGTCGAGGGTCCGTCGGCACTTGCAAGTCTGTGCGCCCACTGGACATACCAACGCAGATGTGACAGCATGTACATATGTCAGCACGCTTGGAAGGTGCACTATCCATACGTGTGTGTGTGTGCATGTTCGTAGTGCGCACACCGCACATCTATACATGTACATGTGCAGGTACATATAAATATACATGCACATATACATACACATAAACATATACGTATACACACATACATGCAGAGATACATACATACACGTACATATCAGCAAATCCGTGGATTACCATTTGGATGCGTACGTATAAGAGGTTGCGCACACATGTGTGCAGCATACGTGGTACAATATTTACATATAGACAGACGGGCGCGTGTGATACTTAGCTTGTGTGTTCGTTAGGACGTGTATGCCCATGCATACACGCACAAACATACATGTGTGCATGCGTAAGTGAAAGCACATGCACATACGCGTATCTGCACAGCTGTGCGCACATGCTCACACATACCCCTATTCGCAGACATGATCATGGCACCAGTGCGAGAGCGCATCTGTTCACATATCACATTCAGAAATATGTACATGCACATGGTCATACATCCACATCTGAAACCCATTAATACGTACATACTAGCAGATTGGAGGCACTAGGCCCTAAGAGCTCCAGGAGGGCATCGGCGTCAACGCACGGAGGCCGCGAAAGAAACCCAGAACCGCGCGCTAGCCCTCGGAGGTCCCAGGAGCCCCCAAGAGGCCAATTTGCCGCGCCATGCGACTCCAGCAAGATGCTCTGTCGCAAGCAAAAACAATGGATTTGGCCCAGGAGTTGAAGAGTTCAGCGGCCCTAGGCTTCTGGAAGTCATCGCCGCCTGGGTCTCGGACTCCCTGGACATGCTGGGTGCCGAATGCGGTCTTCAAACGTTGTGTCCTGATAAGTACTGCAGTGCGATTGCTCGCGCTCTCGTTTAAGAAATCCTCCCTTCCCCATCTTTCTCCTCCTTCTTGCTCCCTCCCCCTCCCACTTCACTACGTTCACCTCCTCCTCCTCCTCGTCCTCCGCCTCCTCACTCAAACAGGATGTGCCGCTGCCGTTTGGCCCCAGCGCCAGCGCGAACCGCATATTTTCGAGCTTCTCATTGCCACCAAGCTTGCAACTCTAGTTGTCAGCGGCTCTGGGAGCGATCCCAGCTTGCGATCCACGGAAGACGTGTAGAGCGCGAAGTGGACGCGCATTGGCATTTTTGTTCGCCCCCCGCATTGATATTACCCTCCGTTCCCTGAACAGCTTGTGCTGATGGCAGTTCTGCAACCCCGCGGGTAATTCGCCCTAGGCACCCACAGGTACGATGAGGCCAACGCCAGACCGTGTGAGTCCCTGTTGGAGCCAGGCTACAAAAGCAACAGCCGTTGTTGGCCAAGTGCAGGTCACAGGCCCACACGGGCGTCACGACGTCAAAGTTTCCGCACAACCGTCCGGCACTT